GGTTGGTTGACCTGGAGTGTCTCGATGACCCGACGATCTCAATGTCATAGCACCAGCATGTCATGGAGAGTGCGCTCTCCATGACATGCTGGAAGAGGAGAAGACAGCAGAGTAGAAAGGCGATCAGAAAAGTAAAGGGAAGAGAAGAGGAGAGGAGAGAGCAGGGGTGGAGAAGCGACGAGCAGAGCGGGGAAAAGCAGAGAGCAGAGAGCGGAGAAGAGGAATGGACAGGAGGGAGGTGGTGGAGTGCAATGACAAGGGGAGCAGACAAGGGAGAGGACGAGTAAAGAGAGATGGAGGAGGGAGGAGAAGGGGGGAGAAGGAAAGAGAAGGAAAGAAGGAAAGGAAGGGACTGCGAGGAGCAGATCTGACCGGAGAGAAGAAGATCTTGCACGAGAGGAGAGGAGAGGGGAAGCAGGTGAAAGGAGAGCAGATCAAACAGAAGAGAAGATCAGATCAGAGGAAAAGGCTGGCGGAGAGGAGAGTAGATAACGGAGAGAAGGCTCTATATGTGAGCAATATAGGGTAAGGAGCCAATGCAAGGAGTGTGGAGGTGGCTCTATATGCATCCACAACAACGGAAGGTGTAACTGTAAGGACTGCGAGACACAAGATGAACAATGTCGCCACAAGAGAAGAAGGCTAGATTGTTGTGAAGATGAACAATGTAGCCACAAGAGAAGAAGGCTAGATTGTGAAGAGTGTATTGGAGATTTGTAAAAATGAACATCCAAACATTGATGAGAAAATATGCTTGGATTGAAGGTGCACAGTTAGTAAAATGTACCCCCTGGATTCTTATTGTCTACTACCATTCGTCTGCAGACCTGCAACCATATGAGCAATAGTCCTCATCATATCCATTACACAGTTTGTATATGATTCCACAATAGCAGCATGAGAACTCGAGCTCCTCTTCACAACATCTCTTGCAGTGTCGCTCCTCTATCCAGCGTCCATCGCGATATCCTATGGTTTCTCTGCGTGGAGGTGCTCAAACACATCATCACATGTAGAGCATCTCCATACAAAATAATTATCTGTGCAGGTCTTGCAGGCAGACAATCTATTGCACTCTTCAGAAGGTGTCCAAGAGCAGCACATCTCGCA